AATGTATATACAATCTAACTACGCAGTTTCTTCAGTTTAGAGTTCCCATTACATATTGAAATCCTGCTTTACCCAACTTTGTGAGCACATTTAAAAAACATATTTCACTTACTCCTTATCAGTTTTATTTAGACCCAAAGCACTTTGCAGAGCAGCCATGGCAAAGCCAGTGGCCTCAGTCAGTTCCAGCCCTACTCAACACAGTCAAGGGGCAAAGAGCAGCAGAGCCTCATGCACAGCCAGCACTGAAGTCACTGTTGAAGTCATAAATGACAGGTCACCAGCAGTGCTACAAGGGTAGGAAAGGCAGGGCACGGAGCAAACAAGTATTGCTGGAGTCAGTGGCTCACTCAGCAAAGTTGTCAGGGAAAAGCTTCTTGTTCTCCATATATTTTTAGATTAGCGTAGATTTAGCGTAGATTAGTGTTAGATTTAGCGTAGGTACTGGAAGCAGGAAATATTATTCTCCTCTGTCTTCTGCAGTTACATAAATCAGGGCAAAGTAGACTTCAGAACAATTATGTCAATCACAGCATTTAAAAATCATTTTGCACCACTGAATGTTGGCACTTAGACACTATGCAGAACAGAAATGTCCTCCATGAGCATTACCTCATACTGGTAGTACTCATTTCTTACTGGGCAGTATGAGTAGGAGAAACAAACACAAATTTAGAAGAAAAACACATTTATAACTGTAAAAAATTTGCAGTGTAACCATACCTTTTGAAAATGTTTTTCAACATTGAAGCCCAAGGATGCAATGCAAACCAAGCGAGTAATAGGAAGAGCCATGTCTGATTATGCAGAATTGTTCAAGTGGTGATGTGTGATTCTTGTTCAGTATTTTGGAAAAACTTGAACTCAATCTTAGCATGTCTTCTTTTGAGCAGGATACAATTAGTCATCCTAAAATGTCCAGCTTTCAGAAACAGACTATAAGTCACATTTTAGTCATAAATTTTCTTATGTTTGCCTGATATCTTACAGTATTCCTACCAGCTACAGTCATCACAAAAATAAAAATTCAGTCTAGAAAATAGTCTACTTTGCTAGTTTCAATGTAAAAACATAAATTGCATTCATACCTTTTTCCTACGTGAGTACACTAAGCACCAGGTTTTAGGTTTTGGTATACAGGCCAACTGCACCTTCACCACAAGCACCTTGCAGGGGCTTAAGTAGGGAAACTTCATGGCTGCCCTCACCCCTTTGTTCACCCTGTGCCAGGCTCAGTGCAACTGCAGGACACTGGTGGGGAGATGGCAAATGCTCCTGGTGATACCTATGACCTAGGAAAACCTCCGTGGGGATGTAGGAAGAAGGACAGAAGAGCTCTTTGTGTCACATCTGTAATTTTCTTCTCCCAGCTTTCCCCTCTGTTAAAAGGTTCAGGATAAATTTGCTCTCTCTCTTTCTCTCATGCAAGGCAGGGATATACTAACAATCAGAAATAAGACACAGAGAGCAGAAGAAATGAAAATTCTAAAACATTCCACTAGTAATAATCGGTCTAAAAATATACACCTTCTGCATGATGGTAGGAAAGGGGAGAGTAAGGCCAGTGTTTCAGCTAGGTTTTATTTATTAAATCTGTGTCCCTTCAGCATCTGGAATAATAAGGCCACACAGGCCTCTTTTAAACCAGCCAGTCCTGTTACCAACCCAGACCTCCCCAGTGAAAGGGATTAAGCCCAGTACAGTTGCACTCCCTCAAGCTGCAGCTCTGCCTCTCACCCTTATGCTTGGTCCACACTTGCACCCAAGCTGGATGTCAGTGTGACACAGCCACGGATGGGCTGATACGAGGTTGTGTGATGGGTCTTGTGGGTGGGGTATGGGATCAGACAATGACACCCTCCTCTACAGGGGCAAATTTAAGAGCTACTTAAACTCCAGCGCTCCCTTCTCAGATGTGCTGTGTCCTGTTTTTATAACACACAGCCAAAATTGCGAATGGTTGCTGATTTAAATAACAGGAATATTTGAGGACAACCATATATTTGTTAAATGGAAGCTCCATAATGAACAAATAATTAACCTAAAAGAGATTAAATAGTATAAATAATATAACTCTAGACAGTTGGCAGGTGACAGGCAGCAGGGAATCTGATTTAAACAGAATGGGATTTTTGGCACCTATTCTGGAATGCAACACCTTATCCCGCTAAAATATTTATATATTTAGCTTCTCACTTCTCATTTCTTCACACAGAAATGACGTAATCATTAAAATACTATATCATGCTTAGTCATTTTGAGCTCATCATCCCTTAAATCATAGATTTTGCACATCTTCTCCTCTACTATGGTTTGCTTGATAATAGTATTTTCTATATGCATTTGTAACTGTAACTACTATGAGAGCTTTGGGTAGTAATGCAGAACAAGAACATATGCTTTACCAGAGCACAATAATGAATGAAAATCACAGAAATCTGTGTCTGAGAGTTATTCTTGTACAGTGTGACTAGGTATCTCCTTGACGCATACATTTTTTCTTCAGTGACATCTCTTACTTTTACCCTTGTTTGAATTTTCAACAACGCCAGATTATTCTTTTTATTAGTTTGCTTATTTTAAGTTTTTTTAATAATGTAATGTGCTTACATGTTTGGATCCTTCTATTTGGAAGTATCCCAGAACTGTATCACCAGTCTCTCTTTTTATTTGCCTGTGAAGCAAAATTTTCCTTTCCATTCCTCCACAAGTCATAAAACAGTTGTGTGTTAAACAAAAATATTTAATGTATATGACAGGCCTTCCTGATATACTGCCAGTTATCTCTCACAGACATCCTTTTTGATTTACATCATCTTACAGCGTACTGGATGGCAACAACAAGCACCAATCTGTTCACATGTTCTTAGGATGGGTGCCCATAGAAAGGAAATCCCTGTAGATAAGAAACCGTGTCAAATCAGAGAACTGCCAGAATGGAAAATAGCCTTAGATCTGTTTTATCTTTGTTGCAAACCAAGTCAGCCTAGGATGGATGCCAGTAGCAGCAAATGAGACACCATACTGCATGTGAAAGGGCTCCCCTGTCCAACACAAGTGCTCTTTTCTCATTTCATTCCCTGATATTTTTCCCCTTGCTCCCTGACAAAAAGCTGTTCAAACATGACCACTTTAGGGATGGGTCTAAGCATAAGAAAGGCCAAGGTTCCCTCTGACTGCTTTTACAATAAGAGGCATCCTAGACTCCATGACATCTTAACTGGAGGATGCCCATGGCTTTTTATACTCAGAACAGATCTATACAAATAATCATTAAGAAGACTTTTCTGCCTCTAACTTGCCATGACTGTGTTTGGTTCTTGTTTTTTAACCAGTTTTATTTGGGAACACAAACCAGAAGAACATAGTTCTTCTGCTGGCAGGAAAAAGACACCTCAATAGTTACATTTCCTTATCGAATCTTCATGGGTTTAACCCCAAAATATCCACATGGTCTTTGGCATACACCTTTTCCTTACCTTATCCAGGACCAAAGGGAAGAACAGTAGAATGTATCACTGTCCAGAAATATTAAGAGCAAGCAGCTGCCCAACAATGGTGAAGACATTTCCCAGGATTTGGTGGGACTTCTTCCTATCCTAAATGCAGATACATCATTAGGAGGATATAGTAGGCCCTGTGAACCTCTACCTTCATGGCTCATTTTAAACTCCCTTTATGCATAAGTTCTGTAACAAGATTTTTAGAAAATTAATCTATACTTGATTAATTCTCTCTATACTTGAGGTATTAGCTGTTCCAGTGCCTCTTTCATGTGTCATATGCATTGTCATTTTGGCTACCTGCAGTGGAGCCTTACCAGCTCTGTGATGTTGTCCTTTTCACTTCTCAAATGCAGAGAAGACTGTTCTCAAATACTCTCCTTATTTATTTTTCTTCTTATGTGATATTTCTCTGTGTCAGAACAGCCTAACAACCTCATTTTAAGAGGAGTAAATGCACAGATAGGTGGTATCAGTCGTTAACAGTTACTGAACAAAAAGAGGCAGGAAAAGAGTTTATCTCAGCTCAGTCAGGTTCTTGATCTGCTCTGGACTCACCACGCTACAGCAGAGTGCTCAATGACATAAAATGTACATAACGAAGTCTGTATGTTACTAAGTCGACAGAGGTTAGTTGTACTGCAGGTGTTGCAATGATCAGGGAAGCACTCTCAGCATCCAAAGTTATTTTTATAGCCACACTCCAGTAAAATTTATGCAACACTGAAAAAATTATGTCTTACTATAACTGCAGTGTGCCTACCTAAAAAATGAAGAGGTTTTTTACATGTTCAATATCCTTTTCTACTGTGTTGCCTAATTTCATTGGTGAGCCATAAATTGGGTCTCTTTTGGGAATCTTCCCTGCCCACCACCATCTGAGTCAAAAAGTTGCCAATTTCAAAATACATAAACAAATAAATAAAAAATTGTACATATGAGAGAGAAAAACAACGTCTTAATCAGCAGTTTGGCCTACTGTGATGCTCAGTATGTGCTAACAGCACCTCCTGGCAGGCTCGTACTCTGATTCCCTGTGCGTGCCAGACTCTTGACTGTGAGATAGATCTTAATTGCTACTGCTATCCAGATCAAATCTAGAAAAGGGGTGTCTACTTCTTGCTAAAGATTTACTCTCTTGACAAGTATCTTAAGACAGAATAAAAACGCTGAATTACCAGGGATCCGGAAAAAGAAATGCCAAACAAGCCAAAGGGCTCGTACAGGATTCACTATGGGGAGATTTGGGGTTCTGCCTGTGTTTTTAGCCCTTTCATACCCATAGCTCCCACTTCTCTCAGGAGGTGAGATACTTTGCAGTGCGTTGCTCCCAGAAATGTTCTCTCTGAATGAATCCCCTCTGTAGCTTTACAGCACATGTCAGTCAGACAAACATATGTTTGCAAGACCTGTCCATACAGCAGTAATTTCATTAACTGTAGATGTCAAGAACTAAGACAAAATAATACAGCACACATCGGGTTGAATGTGATTAACTAGGTTGCGTTTAGTTTATTAATTTCACCCATATACATAGATGACTTTGAAAGCACCATGTGAAATAGTCAAAGTATAAGAAAATGGTACAGGAAAAGATTTCTATATGCAATGTGTCAGTGCACCTACTGTGTTTCATACATACTTTACATCGAAAACCAAAAAACCCACAGTTTCCAGAGGATGTACACATTTTATTTTGAACTGGCAAATTTCATTTATTAATATGTAAAAAAATAAATCTACAATAGCAACAGTGCAAACACATCAGAACTTGCATGGCATACAGAACACAAATGGATAAAAATTATTATACAAAGAGCCCAATGTTTCTTATGCTACTGGCTGTGATGTGTACCACAAACAACAGGGTGAGGAATAAACTGCAACTTAAACAGGAAGATGAGCTGCATATTACTGGCTCTGTCTTGTATGGTCTCTCTATTTCAGGTGGTAAAGCTGTCATGCCTTGGATCTGCAATTAAAATAACAAAATATGATCAGAGTTTTGTCACATAAGGTTAAAAAACTATACTTTGCTCTCAAGCTAGCTGGAGCTTGCATGAGAACCTATTGTTAGTTTTGTACTGGGGTTATGACTCTTACTGTGGAGACATCAAGCTCAGTAAAAATACTGATATAATATATTACATGTCAAATGATCAGACAGTGTGGGTATCCTATGTTTTGAGCTGAAGAGCAGCTGTATACACTGGTATCCTCTTCAGTAAAGCAAGGTTAGGTCATGGTTGATTGATTTGAGTGACCTCCTCTTGCTTTGTAGGATTGTTTGGTAGGTTTGGTTGTTGTTTTGGTCCTTCTGGTAGAAAAAAATTGGAAGTTTACAGTGGCACAGTGCTATAGGGATATAGGATGGTATCTGAAGACATTCATTTCTATGTACAAGGCTTACACTTCCATGTACAAAGCAGCTAACTGTGTACAGAGTATTTCACAGAATCACAGACTTATAGAGGTTGGATGGGATCTCTGGAGGTCTGCAGGATCTGGAGGATCTCTGGTCCTATGTCCCTGCTCAAGTAAGGTCCCATACAGCAGCATTGTGTTTCTATATACTGAGCATTTTCCACTTTTCACTTAGAACTCAGTGCAATTTTTATTGGGTTGGATATAACTGCGTGTTTGTTGTGGTTTTGACATGAAATTAGAGACATTTGTGTATGCTTCTTGGCTTGCTTTTCCTAAATATACTCCCTACATGTTAAAGAAAATAATCTCTGCAAAAAGCAACCTCCTGGGCACAAACACTTTTGAAAGGCTGAATGTCCACCTGTACAGCATGTGCTGGCTCTGGATTTTTTTCCATGTTTCAGTTGTTCTGCACCCCAGGAAAAAAACACAAACACCTAAATATTGACTTAATCTTAGTAAACACAACACAAAACTAAAACTGAACAAGAGAGTATTACTATAGAAGAATTAAGGTATTTTCAACTCAGTTCCTCTGCTTCAAGTTTTTTCAGTCTTGTAACAACTCATGGACTGTTTGGCCATTCATGTTTAATTTGTTCTTTATTTTGATGTGAATGGTCATTTTAGTACAATATCACTAATAAGTCAAGGGAAAGGAAGGAGTCCTAATCTCAGCTTTATGAATATGCCCTATTCATTTGAAATAGGAAACTATGATTAAAAGGAAGAACTAAGAATACCCAGTTTCAGTGAGCTCATCCTTTGACTATGTTTTTAAGTTGTAAGTATTGTTCCTTCATCCTGTAAGATAAAGAGGAGTAGCATTTTCCAGAAAGTATGCCATTGAAAAAAAAAAGGCGTCTTATTCCCACTTGATAAAATTTCTGTTATCATCTTAACTTGTCCTCTGATAAATAATCAGTGAAAGAGCAGATATGCATATGCTACTGGCCACAGTTGTAAAGATCAAGAAGTTTAACCAAAACTGGTGAATAATCACATGTACTGTCAATAACTACTTTTCACAGGAGGTCTATAATGGGAGAAATACTAAGAAAAAACCCAAAACCTCTTTGACTACTTATAGCACAGTATTTCTTGGACATCCCATGGGCAAAACAGTCTGATAGATGTTGGAAAAACCTGAGAACACTACTGCAGGAGGGGCAATTTCTTCACCACCTGAAAGGAGTGTGTGACATGTTATGAGGCAGCACAGGTTATTTTCCAGGGTGAGGAGAATGAGGCAAATGTCCTTTCCTAGGAATTATTTCATTAATTGTATCTCCTATCTGCGCTGGTATATTGGACTGAAATCACCACAAGAAACAAGACAGTACAATCAGACCATTTCCCCTTCAGAGTAGAAAATCTCAAAAAAGTAAAGGCGCCTTGAACTTGGAGTCTGTAAAGGAGTTCAAACAAAAATATGTATTTTTCATCATTCCTTTCAGGGATGATACTACATGCACTAGTCATTCTTTATAAACACACATCAACACTAATGATGACAGCTTTCCACAGCAGTCCTGGAAAAATACCAGTAGACATTTAGAATAAATAATAACTTACTGGGCAATTATTTTTTATCTTACAGGCTTTTTTCATCAAGAGAATAGGGAATGGAAACCTATGGAAGAAACAATCTTACAAAGCTGCACAGGGCAAACAGACAATCCAAAGGTACTTTCTTTGGCCCAATACTATAGACCATTCTATGACACAAAACAAACAGAAAAGCAAGAGATATTGTAAGAGTACTTGTATAACTCTAGGTTGTTTAGATGCCTGAGTTAAGGTAAATTCTTGAGACTTCCTTATGCAGTCAATAAGCTTATCCCTAGAAGGTGACTCAGAGAGGAAACCCGATTTAGGGATTTTGAATCATCCATCTCGAGACCCTAACATAAGTCCCTGACCACGAAGGCAGCCAAGGAAAAACAGCTTTCTGACTCAGTCACGTAGTCTGGACATATGTGGTTACTCTCTGACCAGTCCCAACCACACTGAAAGACTCCATTCTTCTATTACTAATTCCAAGTGCTGATCAAAACTCCAACTTTTCTTTTTAAATGCTTCTAGAACTCAAGTTATGTGAAAGCATTGATAAAACTTTCTCAATATTTGTTATTATATGTAAATGTAATATAGCCATGTAAAGATTCTGAAGATGTATAACCAGATATTTATTCATATACAATGAAAAAGAGTAAATCACATTTGTTTCATGACATTGTTGCCTCCTTTTCAAAACACAGACTTACCGACCATTCTGCATTATCTGTTTTTGAACACCTCACGTTCACAGGTAGCTTAAGTACAAGTTTATTATAGGACAGACCCTCTGATCTGGACCATTTGAATTTGTTCATTGCATCCATAAAAGATAGGTTTTTATATTGCTTAGGACTCTTGATAATGAAAGGCCAAGTCCTAAAAAAAAAAAATAAAAATTTACAATTAGATTTAAAAAAAAACCAAACATAATTGCTATCAACTCAGAAAAATAAATGTACTATTACTATGTATATTATGCATAGCTCACATTCACAGTTAAGTTCTATTCTACTGAAAAGTAAAGCAGTTTTATTTATTTTAACAGACTTAGGATGCTTTAGGACTTGCTGCCAGATATTTTTAGAAATGAAGGACTTCAAGAGTTACATTGCTGTTCTCTGATCTACAAACTGAATACACAGGCAGTACAAAACAGATCTTCTGCTGTAACTTCTCAAAAAAACAAAACCAAAAATAAAGCCACACCCTCTCTGAGGCTTGGCAGGCCAGGCTGCCAAGAAACTTTGCCATTAGAAAGCTGCTTCCAGATGCTTCTGCCAAGCTCTGGTCATAACTCAGATAATAGGTCAAAACTGAGCCTAGCACAGGAGTTGCTCTGACATGCATTGGTTGGCAGCAGAGAATAACTGGTTGTGTGGACATTGCCTTTTGGCATGTTCCTACATGCTGGCTGCAAAGGGACTTTTGGCTCAGAGGTATTATAGAGAGACTTGCTGCACTGTTCTATTGCCTACGTGCAGGAATCCTCCCCATGAACAAATGGGGACAATCCCACTCCCCACCAGCCAAAGACATGGAAAGGGAAGGAATGAGATTTCTTGTCTTTCCTTTAGTAAAGAAAATTAGAAAATAGTAACAAAGGAAAAGTAGAAAAAAATCCAAAACAAAACTAAAGTAAACCTTTTCCGTTGTTCCTGCTTTCTCCTTGTTTGACTTTACTGGGATGAATGAAAACAATATGGTGGACAGGTCAAGTTTGTAAAAACACAAAGTCCAATACAGTCAGTGGAAGAACAAAAGTATTCAAAACTTTATCCAAGTAACCTAATTAATATTTTGGTTGGAGCATGAGTTATCTTCTCAAAGCACTTTAGATAACACTCTGTTTTATCTTGCAATAGGCTGTCTCCCACTTGTTTTGGGTAAATTGCCTATGCTAGAGTTCTACTCCACTCAACATCTAGGCATAGAGCACACAATTTTAATCAAGTACCTATTTGACACTGTTGTGGCCTAGTTACTTTCATCTGAGCTCCTCATGATTTAAACCATTGCCTGTGACACCAGAATGAAGAAAAATGTTTTAAAGTGAGCTGCAGTGCCTTGCTCCTGCTTCCAGTTTGTCTTCATGTGTAAGTCAAGAGAGACTTTAGAGGAGTCAGTGAAGCAATTCTAGTGTTAGACTGACACAAGAGAGATGAGTATCAGGTCACATATCCTCAGGCTGACAGAGCTTAATGAAACAAGAACTGTGGATTAGGTCATAAATACTAGAGGCATTAATAATCTCCTCTTCTAATTACTATTCCATTTGCGGCAGACAGTCTGCATACTTAGTCTATTCAGAACATCCTTATTTCCCCAGGCCAAATGTGCATTTTTTTCCTTAAGTACAGTTATCATGAATGAACACTCAAGAGAGCATACATTTGTTAGAATATTTTCTTTCTAAGCTCAGAAAGACTCTTTTAGCTAGGACTAATTTAGAAACTCTGTTCTCCCTCTATTAAAAGGTTGTAAATGGAAATAGTGTGAAAAATTAACTAGACATTGATTGCACTGTGAGTTCCTTCAAACTCTTCTTTCTTGAATATAAATTACAGAACTAAGACCACCAAGCCTGTATATCAAATTATTTTCCAGTAATAGTTTTATATGGTTTGTTAAGATAAACTGTGTAAAGAAAGACATCTTTTAAAATGTAAATGTGATGACACCCTACTAGTCTATCCATTTGACTTTAAAGTCTTGCTATTACCTTAATTTAGTGCAACTAACAATACAAATGTAATTCACCTTTCACCGCTTCACAGTTTAATTTTTTTTCTTTATTTCTTTCATTTGGGAACTTTCCTCTTTTGATTATTCTCAAAATTCTCAAATTCTCTTTTGATTATTCTTGTTTCACTTCCACTCTTGATCTGTGGGATGATGAGATCTGTTGAGATGCTTTAATTTTAAGCACTATGAAGGACACTTAAAAGCTGAAATAAACTCTTTATTGACTTTTATGTATTCAAACAGATTTAACCTGTCTATATTGGACTTCCTCTCATCTCCTAACAACATTTAAGTTTTATGTTAGATTCTGGAAATCATTCCTAATGAGTGATATTGTTGTGCAGGTCATCCCACTGACATTAAAGATCAGAAAAGGTAGATCCAGCTACAGACTGAGAAGCGTTTTGTTCTCAATAACTGTCATGAAGAAGGAGATTTCTATGAATTTACTGGAGAAACTCCAACACTTTATTTAAAATTCACCGATTATTCACTGTTGTTTACTCCAGCAGTCAGCTGCCAGCTGAATTGCATGGACCTTCATGGTGGTTATTATGGAACCTGAGTTGCCTAAATGGTTACAGCCCTCAAACCCCACCATTCACAGAAGGGCTGTTTAACATCTGTGGAACACTGAAGTAGACAGATCTAACAACAAAATAATATTATCCCTTCTGAGAGGAGGAAAGGACCAATAGTCAGATCTTATGGGTTATTTTGATTAGGAACCAAAGTTGATGGAGGAGCTAGGAGTTTTTCTTTCTGACATGGATTTACTACTCAAAAATGTGCAGTGTTCTGTTTCCCTGAAAAGTAGGAGTTCAAGACTCAGGAGACTATGCCTTTGCACAAGATTGTAAGCCCCTGTAGCCAACAGTTCACCCAAAAAGCTCTTTTCTTCTTCTGGGGTAAAATTCTAGCACTGGTTTCATGGTTTTCTCTCTAGTCGCCTTGCACATCAACCTCTGATTCTTCCAAAGTCTTCTTTCACTGATCTCTATCATGGTCCTTATCTACCATTTATATTTTACTATAAATAATGTCATATTCTCTCAATCCCTTCCCTTCCTTTCTATTTTACAAATTCTTCCCTTGTGTGCACCTTTTGTCAGTAGAATTGCTGACAACAAATCTACTCAGGGTAATTCAATACTTATGCTCAGAAACTCCTTTTTCAAAATTATTTCTCTATATATGAAATGTTCCTATGATTTAAAACATTGATATGTAGTCTACTAACCATATATGGCTGGGGTGAAAAAAAACCCTGACATGAACAGTATTATTTTTTTAAAAGGAGAAACTGCTTTCCTATCAAAACTGAAAAAAAAAAAAAGGCAAAATAATTTGGCAGGAGAAATACTTATCAGCACAGTATATTCATAAACATTTTACCTACCTGACTGGTCTATAGATTTCCTTAACACCAATGAACTGGAGCTGTTCCATTATATCTGGAATACTCGCACATCGGGTGAGGTTGATTCTTGGGTAATAGAGTAGATATGATAGGCACATTTCATTCCTGGTGCTCAGACCACCCTGAAAATGGGATTTTTCTTTTAATCAAGGTAGTATTGGAATCCCACAGACAAAATCACTGATTAGCATTTATATGCTAATTAAATGTGTATCAGGAGGCTGATTTAGCAAGTTTATCTTGTACGCTAGGTTATCAAGAAGTAACAAGAAGTTATCACATAACTAATTACAAAATACTTAGCAAGCTCAAGTAATAGCTTCTAAGATAAAAAGACATCAGAAGGAACAATTGTGAATAAAATAAGACTAATATTATGTTGAAGAGTACTATCTGAGAAGTTCAGGTTTGCTTCCAGTTGTCTCCAAGGTACTTATATCAACCATATTTCAGAACAAGCCTTCAAGAGGAACAGAGGTAGAAAAAAATCTGGCAGGATAATTGATCTGTTTAATAAGAAATTAAGTAAGCATTGCCTAGCAAAATGGAGATTTGAATGGAATATGTATCTCCCTGGACTCTGCTTGTAAGTACTTATGAAGATAAAGAGTAAGAAAGAAAACAAATATTTATGCTAACAGACAATGTTGACTCAAAAAAATGAGCACTAATTATAAAAGAACTAATTAGAGTAACATTTCTAGCTAGCAGAAGAAACAGAACCTTAAACAGTCATCCATTGAGTACCATGGGGCAAACAACTAATTTAAAATTAATCTTGGTAAATATGGACAAGATTATGAGCTATATATTCCTAAATCCTCTGTGGGTATAGTTCCACAAATCTCACAGGAGCCACAGGAATGGGAATGGAGAAGACAAGACACATGAATCAGGGGCCAAGAGCTAGTGTGTTCACCACACAAAAAAACAGGACAAAACCTCAAACCCCTCCATTCTTGCTATTTTGTTTTCTTAATATAACTACTGCGTGTATCTGCTTGCAAGTCATGATTCAGGGAGAAGTATCCCTGTGCTCACTGGATGCCAGGAACAGTTCTTTCCTGCGGAACAGAAACCCCTCAGGTCTCACCTCCCAGAGGTTTGGAACCAGTCCCTCCCCAGGAAGCCAGATCAGACCTAGGTGAAGGCAGCTATACGCCTCCCATAGCCATAGTGGGTCTGGCATCACTCTACAGTTTTGTAGCCAACTGGTACAGTCCAGTTCATGTGCCAACAACTAAATTTATTTCACCTCCAAAACCGAGTGGCTGCATCACAATGGCCAGTGCCAACCTCCAAAGCTGCACCTCGGACACTGTGCACTGACGTGTGCCAAACCTGAGCTCAAACCCCTCAATGTGGGGGTCCTCAACTCCTCTTCCTAGTCCAAAGGATCTGCATTCTGCCTGGATTCTACCTTAGGCACAAAACTAAAAAGTCCAATAACATCCTGGTCACATCCTAAGTAAAAATCAAAGCATAAGAACTGGCAATTACAACTTCGGGGAAAGACATGTAACAAGTTCATAAAAATAATTCATTACAATTTGCAGAATTTGCATGTTAATACGTGTTGTGATGAAAGCATTCCTAATACTAGCAAAGTTTGACTTCTAAAGATTTTTTGTGATCTGAAGTGCTTATTGTCATAAACTAGTCATAGGAGTGACTTATGCAAGAGATCCGACTATGATCACAATCATTCAGATGATTTTAAAACCTAAGAATCTATGAAAGGAAAGATAATACATGACTACATGCACACAGGCCTTAGCAAGTAAGCTCACTGTTTTTAATAGAGTTTTATGACAAAGGTTTTTAGGTCCAATATTATCTGTGCATTTTGATCCACTAAAACATTGCTTACCCATGTCATGCGAATTCGGTCCACAGTATTGTAGTGACATTCTGTGATTAAATTATCTCCCTGAAACACAAAATTTAGGAATTTCACAGTTCTGAAGCTTATTAACACCAACTTCAGGTAACCACAGACGACAGCAAGGGCTGAAGAAATAAACATCAGAGCAGTGGATATGACTTTTTCAAAGAGAAGGATTAGGTAACTGCCATATGTTAAGGCCTCACAATTTAGTATATTATAATTATTATCACAGGTTCTCAGGGATCTCCCATGGATTTAAACAGAGTCTTATTAAGTGTTGTCTGGATTTTTTTTAAATAGCAATGAAGGTGCCCAGTTATCATCCAGTTTCTGGAAAATTATACAGTAGACGATGTATACAGATGATTCTTGCTCCAAAACTCATCCAGTGCTACTTTACCCAGGCTCATTTATCCTGCCAACTACAGCAGAAATATTTGGCAAATGAGGAAAAGAAGGTTTTCCACATCACAGTAACAACTATTTCTCTGCCAAGCCTGGGAGTAGAGGAGTGGCAGGCAAAGACTTCACTACGTTGACAGATATGTATGGGAAAGGCTTAATACTCACCTTCTCAAGTGCATACAATTAACTTTTTGGTGCCTTGACAAACTGATCAACTGTTTGCTAATACCTTTACTCCCTGCACCTAATCAATACAAATCTCAAGATCAACATGATAACCAAGTGGAAATTAAAATATTCAAGAACATAGGCAGACACCAAAAATCTAGTGTTTTGGTCAGCTTCATGTCACAAGGATGCCAGATGTTTGGTTTGGTTTATTTTTCTTATATCACCATTTTCCCTTATCACCCATTATATTTCCCTGAAAAAAATCAGACCACCCTTTAAAGGCTTCCTCTTCTGAAGGCTGTCTCATCACCAAATAAATGCTAGCACAGTCTGTACTCCAGACTGCTGGAAGAAGGTGTGTCAGCCTCATGTCAGCCAAATGCAGACGGAGGTTTCTGAAGCAGCATGAGCTGGCACAGCTTCACTGCTCCCAGCAGGAATATGCTGGTTCCCACCAGAGAGGTCTCTGGCTTTCAGAGCTTACGGACTGCATAAGGTTCACTAAAAGTGTTCCTTCTGTGATATTTGATCTCTTGCTTCTAAAGTGAGAAGAGAGTGTTAGCACGTGAAGAAAGCAAATAACCTGGACTCCGCAAGCTAAAAGAGGGATACACCTTTGGAGGAGTTTATGGAAAGTGAGAATAAGTCGAACTTACTTGAAAAATTATATTATTATTAGTTAATTGATTAGACTGTTTTCTGAATTACAGTGGATGATGTATGCAAAGCTGCACTGGTAGTTTTGCACAAGATAAAAACAAAGAAAGGCTTGAAAAAAGCCTTTCTACTTGAAGTGGGGTTTTTTTCCAAGTTGCTGATACTATCAAATACCTCTTTTAGTCTTTCTGTTGTCTACTCCCTTATTTTTTTTGAATTGTAAGAGGCCTTCCTCCATAATCTGCATGGATTTTCCTAAAAATATTACAGGTTTTCTCTGTAAACCTGTCATCTTCTGCCAGCCCTCTTCCTAAACCCTTCAACACTTCTTTCCTGAAGGAGGTAACACCAGTTTGTCTTTGAAGTCCCTGTAGAGTACAAGCAGTTTGACTTCAAAGAGTAAATGCTGCACTTGAACATCCAGGTTTTGCTGTAGAAATTGAACTAGAAAGTTAGTATTTTAGCTTCTTGCCTTTAAAGTACAAATATCAAAGTATCCCAGCGTGGGAGAAGAGACAGAAGAGAGAAAGGGACTTGAAGAGAAGCCTGGAAGTTTAAACCATGGGGTTCCTGACCATACTTGAAGTTCAGTGATTTCAGTGGTCTTTTCCGACATTTTGAGTCTGACCAATTCCATTAAGTAACAGGTTTGTTCCCATGCACCAGGACAAGCTTCTCTGCTGCCCAGATCTGGAGCACCAAGAGTTTGCAGCACTAAATTTCCTGTCCTCAGGCCAAAGCCTCAAAAAAATACACTGGTTGGAACTAATAAAAGATGAATGAATAATTTTTGAATGAATGACTCACACAAAAAAACCCCAGACTCTTTTCATGCAATATCTATGGATAGCTACTGCTTAATAAAATAACTCTAGTTGGAAATTTTCTATAAGTTATGTTACACTATTTTCACAAGTATAATAGAGTTATATGATTTCTTTTTCAAAAGGGCTGTGTTTACCAGTGAAACCTCATGTGGAAGATAAGCATGGAGCTTTCCTTCCAACAACAACAGAAAATGTGAAGTAAACAGAAGATATGGCTGATTTGTAGACATGTTTGCAAGGCTGGACACTTCCTGTGTGAAAAAATTGAGGATGTGTTACTTGGTTCCAACAGTTCTGTAAAGCCATGCACTGACATTTCTGTTATTCATCTTGCTGGATGCACAAAGATGGCACAGCTGGGCACACGTGGGGTTTGCTAATCTGCTTTGTTCAAATATTTGTGATAGTAAAGTTCAAATCAAGTAATTGTGGATAACAAACATACTCAAAGAATAGCCTGAATTGATGGACCAAGCCAGTTCTGTGGTGAATTGCATAGACACTCCCAAGACACCAAAATTTTAATGCATTAGTCACTCTGAAATAAGTGGGAAAATGAACAAAACATTCAAAAATTCTATGATGCAATGATAGGAAATTCTGCAGCAAAATTAATCCAACATGTGAGAAAATCTTAGGCACGTGATCTCTTAAACACTTTAAGGGAAAGAATGAAGAGTGTCGTACAGGCAAGATGGTTCTTTCTTCTTTCAGATACTGAAACTCCTGGAAGTTGAAGTCAAACTCATCATCGTAAGCAAGTAGCTTCTGCTCCTCGCCATTACGGAAGTGGCGCATCCTGATAGCTCTGCCAGCAAGATGTGCATGAAGAAGCACCGCAAACACTTGAATCCCAGCAGGTCTCTCAGCACCTAGAGCCTGGTCAAGGGAAACCACTATTAGTGTGCCCAAATGTAAGGTAATGTCAGGTAATACAAAGCACAGAGTGAAAATGTATAAATCAATGTATTTTTACATTCACGCAGTTTACTGCAAAATGTAGTCTATAGTGAAACCAAACCTAGATGTCAAATTAAGGTTTTATGCACAAAAAAAGGCTAGATATTTTCTGTGATTATTTTTTACAAAAAAAACCTCCCAGTTTTACTCCTAGTGCATGCATTTTTAAAATGAAAATCAGCTAGACTGCAAATAATTCTCAGTTTAACAGTTTAAGACTTGTAAGGGAGTCATACTATAAAGCCTGCACATTATTTTAGTGCTAATGGTTGATACTGGAGAATGCAGACTTTTATTGTGAAAAAGAATTTCTATGCAGTTATGAATGACGTTGTCATCAATATCATGCCAAGAGATGCACTTAAAATTGAGAGTCTGTAATTATAATATGCTCTACTTCCCATCTTCAAGTGAACTGGTAGTGAAATACTGTAAGTTCACATCTGAAACTTTTTTCCAGGTCAAAAACATTTGAAAATTAACTTTTCCAAATTGATACAAATCTGACATCACTCCTGTTCTAGTTGAGATCTGCTGCTAAACTTCCAGTATGCTCAAATTTGGTTCTTGTTCAGAGCTCAAGGCAGAAACAATCTGTTATCGCAATACCTTTCAAGAACAGCCTCAGGATCAGAAACCTCATGATAATAGATTACTCAAGTGTTTTAAGGCTGAAAAATGCTAGGAGAATATGCAATATTTAACACCTCCAAGAAGAAATCTAAATTCTGTATCTAATTTGGCCTTCATAGTTAACCATGTTCTTGATTCAACCCTTCCCTGTAAAGGACAAAGTATATGAGAATCAACCATGATACACTAATCACAGATCTTAGACAATGCTTCCATTACCTGCAGAGATATTTAAGTTATCTTAATGAAACAAAATATTTAATAAATGCATAATTGTACAACAAAACCTGGTGAGGTCTTTAGTTTCTGTGGTGGTCTAAGAATACCTTTCAGGCTTTACCTCATCATCAGGAGCCTTTTGCATATGCACAGGTCTGAATTAGTCTCAACATTTTTTTTGGGCTAGCTATCCCAATTAGATATTAATAGCTTTGCCATGAAAAGCAGTGTATGCTTATATAGTCAACACAAAATTAAAACATTGCAAGCACTGTGTTATCCAGTATTACTCATGTAAGTGAAGCAGCCTGAACACCTAAAAGCCTAAATACTCAGTTCAAAAAGACTGAACATTTTGGAGGGCAACATGTACTACCACATGCCTTTCCTCACATCAATCTTCCCAAGAAGTTAAAGTGACTCCAAAACTATTTCTATGAATGAAAACCAGTGGATTCAGGCAGGGGTCATACCTCTTCCAGACATTCCAGCGTGCAGTGACCCTCTGACACAAATTCAGGCATGCCTGGTGGGATATTGTGGAAGAGACTGACCCAAAGACCAGCTTCAATAACCCCAGCATCATATTTCCTTAAAACTGGAGTGTAAATTAGCCTTAGACCAGAGTTATCTATCAAGCCTGCAACAAAAGAACACAGTGAGCCACGGCTATAAATCTGTATTTCAAATGCAAAAAAACCAAAACCAAATTGTTTCACATTTTTCATGCTATGTCCTATGTTTTCTACATGAAAATCAAGGAATCAACCTCAATAACCTGGAAATGAGTTCAAACTGTAAGCAGGAAGTAATAAATAGGGGCAGTCCACGGGACAGTTTTTAAACACAGTGTCTTGTTCTCTTTGGTGTTTAGATGTGAAGGAAAAATACATACTCTCTGTAGCCCTCGTGCTCCTTTCACTGAGATATCCAACACGGATTTCAGGGAAAAGAAGATAAATCACAGGCAGAAGAAACAATACAAGGAAATAATAAGACCTCAAAAGATTCCGTGTATGATTTTCATATTGAAATATTTAAAGCAAAGCTTAAAATTTTTGTGCTTTTTTCTTACAAATTTTCTAGCCATGTGTTATCTTCTGTTTATGAATTTTATCTATTTCTTCACCTGGAGTCCTAGGATTGATTATATTTTTCCTTTGCTTAGGATTGCCTGTTACATTACAGCATACCCCAAATGACAAAATATACCTCTTTTACAGTCTCTCAAATTAAGAGAGCATCAACTGAACATTTGCTTACTAAATCCCAAACCTGCTCATAATACCAGTACCTTGAGTGAAGTAGACAAGAGAATTACAGAGTATTTTAATGCTGCACTGATTCAAGAACTCTTGATTAAAAAAATTAGTTTAAAGAACCAAAGCCTGCTGTGAAGAGGTTGATTTTTTAACAGTCAAAATGATACAAAGCTATTTTGTTCACCCACATATGTTTAGCCATATGTGTTTGTTTGTGTAACTATTAATAATTTATGTTGCCTTCGTCATCTAAATGCTTATAATTACTAGTCATTCGTATTAGTGGAGGTACACACAAAAAATTAATTTGTGTTTGCACAACTGCTACACTCTGGTAGTTCACTTTTTCTTTATATTTATGAATAATCACTGAAATAATTTCAAATTTGAAAATTAAAAATGCAAAACCATATCAAGTATCTCGGAGAAGGTAAGAGGTTTCCTAGTGACCTATATTAGTCTTCTAAAAAACATAACAGACATAGCAGTGCCTGAAGCCAAATTTTACATCAATATGATATTGGCAGTCTATTTTAAGATAAGCAAATGGCAGAGGGACGGAGCAGGGGCTGTTACCCAGTCACTAAAATATCTAAGATGAAGTAATGTATATAATTATTAAGGAACAAAGGATATGAACTATGTATAGCCAATCAAAAATGGTAATCAACCATTCTTCAATATATGAATCATGACATTTAGGGTGATATATCCTATCCCACAACATCCCAACTTTAGTATCTGGGAATCCAAACTTTCTCCCTTTCTGGAGATATTCATAAAATCTCATCAACTTGAATTTTTCCTTGGTGGAATTTCCCTCTCAAACTGGTTGCTAACATCTAAATGTCAGACACTTTTATGGTCTGTCAGAGTTGCTGATAAACAATCTGAAAAGAGGCCACCTTTCAAATGAAAAGTGAATGTTAAGGACTACAAAATCACAAACAATCAAAACCACCCACCTTAAATTAAAAATGTTTGAACTGCTCCTGACTGGGAGCCAACAGTGACTGCCAATCTGAGTCACTCAGGAAAACATTACCCCAGGTCACAAAGGGAAGGAAACAGTGCAGCCTTTCACCATGAGACCCAAACTGGGGAAACACAGGTGACAATACAAAAATGAAGGTCACCCAGTGGCAGGTTTGGTGTTGTGTCAGGAGAACTCTGTTGTCCCCACCTGAAGCAAACAGAGTACTCAGGTCTGTGCTCTCACAGCCCTGGCACAATTTTATGCTGTGTATTTTGCCACGGAGGAGGAGAAGCATGACCTGTATTACAGGCACCCTTCTCTGCCTATGCTGCCTGAATTTTCCCAGGTCTTTAGTGAGATACTGTGTTCACCTAGGAATGTCTCTGCAAGGCAGAATTGTCCACATTGCTTAACAAAAGAAACAAAACATTATTGATTTCCAGGTTTTGTATGTGGTTGAACTAAACCAATGCTGTCACACAGCACAGTCAATTAAAACAAAATGATAAATTTAGGGACACAACCAAATCAGACAGAGTTTTTCTATATGTGACTTCTCAGGCTTTCAGGTCACATTTGATGGAAAAGAATACAATATGCAAATGAAGTGTATTGTATCCCATGCAAAGGTGTATGCTGAAAGGACAGAGTCCATCACTAAATTAAATTAAAAACAAAGAGCTAGTTAATTTAGAACAACATGAAGAGGGGAAATGACAGTAAGACAGAACACCATAACCCACATAGAGAATTTTATTTTAACACATAGGGGTGTAAATGTACAGTACACATGCTGCATTAGATTTTACTCAGTTTGTGTGTAAAAATCATGAGAATATTCTCAGGTACAGTAGCTTAACAAACTCCTGCTTCAGAACAAAAACTATCTTTCCCAAAGACAGCGTCAAAGTTCCCCTGGTTTTCTGGAGTTCATTGGTTTCTTCCTTTTACTTCTAAATAAAATTTAATTTGAGGAGGAACATTTAACAAATACTATTATAAATTAAAAGATTATCTTTTAAGATAAACTGCCTTTACACAGTCAATGGTCTAGCAACCTGAGTCTGTACTTCAACTTCAGAAAATGCTCAGAGTTGAGGTAGATTTCTTAAAAAAAATTAGAAATTAATAAAAGGATCATTCCCTGTATTGCTGCCTCACAGTTTGAGTGCTATACTGCTTGTTTTCATTCTGATTGCATTTCCCAGCAAATGGAGAGAGAGATAACAAGAAGAATGTAGTGATAAAATGAGATATACTCACCTGGTCCACAATTTCTTGTATACCTGAATCTCTCACTGACTTTGGGGTAAACTTTTGAGAGCAGTGAGAAAAACACTGTGAACCAGGGACTACTAATCAGGAAAAAATAAGACTTGGCTTTGTATGTGCTCTGTTCACCACACAATGCAGTGACAAACACTTGTGTCTAGCACATTTTCCAGTGCTGCATGTTTTAAAGAGTGTGAGGCTACAAACCTTCTGTGTACGATGGATTGTCATAATGCACCTCCATAAGAACGAACAGAGGGTCAGATGCTGTGCCAATGGATAAGCCAACATGTGGAGGGTACGTGAAGCCCTGGAAATCAATACAGGCATACAGAGTTAAGGTATTTTTGCCACAGTTAATCTCTTTATAAATAACAGTGACTTCTTTTTGCAATGATATGATCATATTAATGATAAAATTTACAAAGCTAACTTCTTTTACAGCTTTCTGAACATGACATTGTGATATAACAGAGTTATTATATACTCAATATACTAAATAATTCTGTCAGTATAAAATAGTAGATCCCACGATTGGTAGAGGACAAAGCTGTGAGCAAACAAGCCTGACCTCACTGCTTTGAGTAGGAGGCTGGACTAGAGACTTCCTGAGGTCCCTTTCAATCTGCATTATCCTGTGATCTTATGATTATTTATTCTGTATTTATTGTTTGAGCAGAAAAGGAAAATTTCATTTTAAATGTATAAACATTGCATCATCAAGCACTTAGCCTGACAATAAAACCTTTATGAAGAAGTGAATCAACATTTTAAACGTTCCCAGTTTCTAAGAGCAGCAATTTCCAGGGAACACTGAGGTTGCATGTAATTAACTTGTTTTTCCTGCACAAATCACTGTATTCTATGTAAAATTATTTGAACAATAAAGATGATCTTCATGGCTTCATTTACATTAGCAAGCCAATAGTGCAAAAGAATTAGTTTCTGTACCTTGCAACAGCTTGTGTTGGACCCACTGTCCTCAAATGATGCTCCTTTGGATAAGCTCTGGTCAGGCCCCATGCACTGAACCCCATTTATTGCTAGGAGGGTCTGGGTTCACCCCTGCACTTTCAGTTTAACTTCATTCCAAAGGGGATTGTGAAAATTCTCAAACCACTCATGATGATAAAAAGAGCTTGGTAAGTGGGAATAACTGGGAGATTTAGTTCAGAAGCTCACTCCTGATTCAAACCAGAATACCAGTATCTCTTAAATGAACTCATTTACCAAATTCACTGTAATTGAAATTAATCTGCAACATTTTATAGTATATAGCTAATACTTTAATAAACAATTTGAGATTCTAACTTTCTGAAATGTGCAAATTGAGATACCAATTTTCTGATGCTTGATTATTAATTGTAGTATACAGTAAAAATTATTATCCCCTTTATTAAATGTAAGGGTAAACTGAAATTAGTGAAGTGGGTACTTGGCTAAACCTGAATGTATCCCAGATCTGTCAGATTCCTCTCTACAGATGTTTAACCCTTGTAAAAACCTCCATAGTGCTTGTTAAATGCTAACTTATTTTTATGAATTTTTAATTTCACTTAGATTAAGACACTCAAAAGTACAAATACTAGGTCAGAGCATAGCTGATGGCAAAAATGCTCAAAGCATACATCAGGGATAATGCTCACAGTGGATTAAAGTTCTTTTGAAGAGTCCATGTAACAGCTCTGACTTCCTCACACTGCAGCACTCGCAGATGGTTTTGGACTGCAGGCTGGCAAATGAAGGCTCCAGAAACTATCATCATCCCAGTCCCTCTCTGTGCCCACACCACTATTTGTGTGGGCACACAGTGAATCAAGGGGGTAAAGGGGTGGAATTCTTTTGGCAGTAATGGTGCATTATGTCAGCTCAAAGCATTATTTGGAGCCTGAATTGACATATGAAATAAGCTGAAAACACAGCCTGGGGTGAACATGGCAATCAGAACCCATATTTTCTGTAGATATGTCCCACTGCCATGAACAAAGTGGTCCTTGTGCTGGCTCAGCACCGACACAGGATCTCTCCTACACTGAAATGATGTGTTTTTGGGCTGAGGAGGAAACTTCAGAATGATATACCTGAATGGAGCAACAGTGAAACCAGGTCCTAGTGAGGCACATAATTATTAAATCTATTTGCAAAGTCCTGTGTCTGTGTATTTTACAAAGTCACCTACAGACACAGTTATTCTCCACAGGTAGCTGGTCATTGCTGCAGGCAGTGTATTTTCATATCAGATAGGACAAGCTGATATAGTGATAGATTTCCATGCTCCAAAGCTCCCCTAGGGCATCTATACTATTTTAGTTACTTTTGGCTTGTCACTCAGGATCACCATTGCATTGCATACTTAAAAGACCAATAAGAGGTTGAGGACTTGCTGGTGAGGCATTTAGGGATTGTGATTGTGTATCCTTAAAAACAGACAGATTAAGTAATATCTAACATACTAGGAAGAAACTTTGTTATGATACACCCCATCCTAAAGCCCCATTGATGAACCATTCTAGACAGACATTCATCCTACCTCTCCTCCAATGGCCCAGGCAAAAATGACTGTCTCACATGTGAGAAAAGAGTCTGGCATGTTGGGGTGGTAACATTCATGTCCATAGTCCAGCACACTGTCATTCAAATTGCTGCTGCACTGGTAGAGCAGAATATGGTGCACCAGATTCTCATGGCCTTTCTGGATCAATGGCTCAACCTGTCAAGGTTAAAATGAAAAGGAAAGAAAAAAGTAATTATATCTCAATGTGACTATTTTAATGCAGGTATGAAGACAGATATAAAAATGATACATTGATTTTAAAAGAGAAGACTTGATGTTATATTGTAGTTAAGTTGAGATATAATTTCAACACTCTGCAAACTCAAGAAATGAAGTTTCCAAAAATTGCATTTTGCCCAGGTGCATTAATGGGCAACAGAAATAAATTCTGCATCTTGACAAAACCTCTGTTACCATCTTTCTTGTTCTCTCTTCTCCCATCCCAGTCTTGCACTGTCACTTTTCTTTCCCCCTGCCCAATCTTGTTTAGCAACATTCCAGCACAAAGGGGTACAAACCAGCTGAAAGTCTGATCCAGTTTGGTGTCTGAATGAGTCAGAGCTTTTCACCCGTTTCTGCCTCTTTTGTAGTATTTCAAATTACAGCTGCCCATAGATTCTGTGTATCTAGGGTGAGCCTAGAGGCATACCCCACACTCCTTAGCAACTCAAAATGGACTTTCCAATTTTTTTGACATCTACAGGAAATTAGAATTATTTTAAAATCTGCTCAGTTGTAAAGACTTTATTAACATGAAGTCATTCTTGAGAGGTTGGGTGTTTCAGCCTGTTTAAGGCAGTGAGGAGCTGGAGGGCTCTCAGTGGTGCCCGGGTGCCCCCAGTATAATTAGATCATCAAACTTCAGGGTAGGCTGAAATTATTTAATTCTCGTATAAGTGTTCACTCTCTATTTGGCTGGATGATGTTAAATCATCTCTGTCAGAGAGGATGTCCCTGGGGCAAACATGAATACTTCTGAAAAAAATTATTTTGCTTTTCAGAAAGATCATATTCCACAAAATATCAGCATATAGAGGACAGTATTAAAACGAAAGGAGTTTTTCCTTGCCTTTGCTTTCCAAGATTTCATCACATTCTATCATATCTACCTCCAAACTGAGTGAGATAAAGATTAATATTTTCTCAAGAAAAGTCAAGCTTTGGCAATGCAACTCTTAAACACAGGGTGCCATGCAGTATTGCCTTTCAATAGTACTGAACCAGTGAATCACTGAATAGTTACGGCAGGAAGAGACCTCTGGAGGTCATCTAGTCAAACCCCCCTGCCAAAGCAGGGTCACCTAGAGCATCAGGAAAGAGAAAGTTATTTTAAACAGGAAAAGAATACATATAAATCCTAAATTTATATCCACTTTATTTTCTAAGTTCATTAATGTACTACCAGAGGACCAGAACAGACTATACAGGAACAGTTTATTACATTATTAAAATATTGCCAACACAATTTATCTCTCTGCATTTCATTCAAAACACTAAATCAATTACAAAGAGGAAGGGAGGGAAGAAACAGCCAGAGCCTGTGTGTATTAAGACCACCCTTGTAGGTATGAATCCAGAAAGTACCATTGAAGTTGGGCTCTTGGGGAGTCCAAATGCTGCTGAGTACCTGCATGTCCATCCAAAAAGTGCACAACCCACTTCACTGGGCTTAGAAATCAGTGGAAGGATGCCAGTTTAATTGGATGCACCACAGTTTTGTTCTTGAGGCAAGACTGAAATACTTCACAGGAGATCTGTTCATTTTTTTCAGTAATGCTCCCATCATCATGAATTACTGCACTATGGAAGTAAAAGGTATTTTTGAAGGAGATAAGAGTCAGTTTTCCTATTAAACAAGAGTTCAATCCCAAATATATCAGACTGAATGACAAAGATTCAGATATCCATTTCAGCTTGATGTCACTTCTTCCCTCTGCCGCACCCTATACCCGCATATTTATCCAAATACTGCAGAAGAAAAATACCCTTGTAACATGGCAGCTTATACATTAAATAGCAGGATATATCTCAAGAATTCTGAAGTTCCACATAATGTATTGGTTAGTCAAAGAAACGGTTATGGGAATATTATCCCTGTATCTATCAAGAAAAAGGAGTACTTTTGTCCCAACATGTGACAGTTCTGCCTGCTGTTATAAGATCACAGTGCATGCTGTGCTTACAATCACTACTTCAAAACCAGCTTCCTCTCAAAACAATGGGACATCACCAAAATTAGAAACTCACATCCTGTCATCGTTTTTTAGTGTCAGTTACCTAAACAATAACAGCACTTTAAAAAGCAGTTTTGTTCAGCTTTCTTAAGTGAAGAAAAGGAAAAGGAAAACTAAAACAAAATAAGTCCTTAGACATACTTCCATTGCATCTCTAGGATAACTTACATTGTTCAGATACAGAAATAAGTCATGAAGAGCAACAGTGAAGTTATGCTTTTTACATATTTTTATTGCAATTTGGTTGAAGAGGTCTTTCTCTTTCTGTTTTTAAACAAATTTGTAAAAAGAAAATATTAGGAGCGGTCAAAATTCTATTGAAAAACATCTTAGGAAAATCTCATTAATCATGAATTATTCAGAAATGTACAGAGATATTTTAATGGCCAGCTCCCTAAGGCTCACTCAGTTATTTCTCATTGAAATGAGAGAAGAAAAAAGACCAGACCCCTTAGATATGTTGAGCTCCCCTTCTCTGATCCGATGAATAGCTAACTGTATTTACTAACTACAATAACTTCAGCAGAGAAAAAAATCAAAAACTATGATCTCATACTCTATTGTGGTCATTAACTGGAAAAGGGATTTAAACATGGCATTCTACATCCCAGGTGAGTGCTGCCTCTTTACACAACTATTTGTTATTTTGGCTCATAGAATAAGTTGGTTACTTAGGCTGCCTCACACTTTCTCTCTCACTTTCCACAAAGAGCATCTGTACAGATGACTTTGCTCCAAGCTGAAAAGAAATTCCAAAATGTAATTTTTTTCTCAAATAAGCAAAATTTTTGTTTTCTGGCCAGCCTTACAATTAATGATGAACAACAACCACGTTTGTCAAATCAGGGGCCAAATTCAGAATATCATTCATGTTTAGAAGTGCACATAAGTAGTCCCACATGTAAAATCAGTTGTTAAAGCAGGTATCTACAATTAAATATGTAGATCAAGGTGGCCTGATTTCCAGAGCACTTGCAGCCTCAGTGAATGACAATAGAATTTACAGATGCAATTTGTGCAACTTTTAGAATACTTGTGAAAAGATAGTAATTTGATGTGGTACATTAGGGCAAAGGAATGAAATACAGAAAAAAAGAGATTAAAGTAGGTATGGTACAAAATAGTCACTAAACTATGCAGATTTAACAAACAGTTAATTTTTATTTGGATTCTTATTTATACATAACCTTGTTTCCTCTGCTCTCTTACTATAAGGGGACTCTCAAATGACATTTTCAGCCAAGTAATTAGATAAACAATGACTGAGTAATTTAGATGGTTGCAGTAAAAATGGGAATCCACCTTTCATTTTCAATAATTATGAAGAAACCTGACTTTGCAGCGTAGTTCCTTCTCCTGTCCTTGTGAATTCCTGTCCACCTCTTGTTAGCCAAGAGAGCCAAGAAAAAATCTGAAAGGAGACTAAAAAACAATATGCATGTAACTACCTATTTTCCCCATTTTACCTCATTCTTTGAGGTTCCTCTGTGGTATTTTCCCTGTTGCTGGCGTGCAAGGAAGACCTAGCTGTCAGGCTTCATCTCTTTGCCATGTTGTGAATAAGCCTGCAGAGATACTGCACCACCGGGCACCTCGGTGACTTCTTCCCCTGCAGGCAAAGTGCATTTTCTGCTTGACATTTCCTAACTGCCAGAGGCACGGAGAACAAAAGCCCCATATTCACGCTACATCAAAATGCCCAACATGTTTGGGATTGTAAAACATAAGTGCATGCAACAAGACACAATCTGTTTTTCATGAAACCTGTGGTAAGAAGCTCATGGTTTATTATTCATGATGATTTGCTTTCTGCATCCTCCTCTTATCTTTTTCTGAAAACTTGGGAAAAAGGTCTTTCTATCCAAGCACATTCACGTATATGAACCCATCTGACTCCCACTAATAGAGGTAAAACATAATAGGGGTACTATAATCCTGCATCACTTCAAATCAGGCTTTCAAAGAAGGAGGTATGTAAAGTACACCACATTCAAATGTAAACAAAGACACTGTCTCCTGCAACCAAAAGTAGGGGTTTCGGTTATGGTGTTTGATTGACATGACCTGTACTCATCAGACAGGTTGAGAAGTTTTACAGAGCTCCTTTCACGATACTGAATCTCTTAACACTTCTGAAAACACTGACTTTCAAAAAATATAAATTAAAAATTTTTCAAGTCATTATAATGTTAAACCAGATAAGGTGTGTGCTGTCCACCTATTATTTTAACAGAAGCCCTACTCTAGTCAACAGGCTAGACATCACATGAACAAAGACAATGTTTATATCTGCCAGGGCCAGGTTACTCAGCTTCAATTTTCCTTCCTCTCTTCTCTATTTCAAAGAATCCATCACAGAAACATAGAATCAACCAGGTTAGAAAAGACCTCCAAGATCATCAAGTCCAACCCTTGATCCAACACCGCTGTGGTTACTATTATCCCTTTATCTATTATCCCTTTTATTCTATTATTCCTTTATCTATTGCACAAACTGAACATGCCATATGTTGTTTTGTATTTTTTTTCTTAAAAAAAAAAATCAAAATTTTAACATAACAGTGGCTTGTATCTCAAGGTGATGAAAAGCAGGGTCAAGATACTAATGTGTTATGTACTAAACAGGATGAAAATTAAAAGACCTCAAGTGGTCCAAAGAAGTTAGATTTCCTAGAAGGAAAAAATATCTCCAGAAACATGGAAGCTTTTCTTGCTTATTCCTGGTTTTCTCCTTTTTTGTTTGCTCTGTTTTCTTTGATGTTAACAGCTGTGGTTTGTTCTTCATGCCTGTTTGTGCAGATGATGAAAGTTAGTAAAATATATCCATAGTCTCACCACAGTGTCCCTATTTAGAAAATACAGCCCACTGAATGTCAGAAAAAAAACCAACCTGAATTTATTTTTAGATGTGAGAATGACATC